CGGATGCAAAAACGACGTCGTTTTATTAAAAACGCATGTTTTCCTTTAAAAAAAAATCAGGTTCGATTTCCAGCAATGAAGGCAGCAAGCAAGAATTGAGACACAACAGCATTGTAAAATAATAAACACTAGGGGGAAAAATAATGTATATTTTCAGATTGAATGAAATTTTCATTCTGATGCATCTAAAAACCAGCACTATAAAATAATATACACTAAAGATAAAAAGAATGTACATTTTCAAATTGAAAGAACTAAATTCCATACTAATCAGATTGAATGAACCAAAATGCAGAAAAGTACAACAATAAATCATAGAAAAATGGATCTACAAAATGCAACAAAAACTCTAGGTAGAAACCACTATGAAGATATAAACCCTAGGTAGAAAATAATGTACATTCATGTTGTTTGAAGCTCTAATAGGAGTGTGTGTGTGTGTGTGTGTGTGTGTTTAATAAGAATAATACATTTGGAATCCGTATAAACCCTAGGTAGAAATCACTATTAACGTATAAACCCTAGGTAGAAAATAATGTATATTCATGTGTTTGAAGCTCTAATAAGAAACAATACCTTATGAATCTACAGGAATGAAACTTTCCTTCGTTTCAGCGATGGAGAAGACGAAGCGCAGTGGAGAGGACGAATCGCAGTGGAAAGGATGAAGTGGCGACCAGCCAGATTACCCCCAAACAAGCAGCAACAGTCAACGCATGTTAAAATTAGAAAGGAACACTAATGTTAAAGTTATAGTTATAACTCGAAGATTTTGATTTTTGATGCATTAAAATTAAAAATTTTAACTATAAAATTTGAGTTAATATCCAAATTTGTCCTCGACTATAGTGGTTTTTCTCAATTTCGTCCTAAACGATTTTGGTGACCTAATATAGTACCAGACTTTTGTGTTTTTGCTCAATTTAGTCTCTCATTTGTTATTCCGTCAAATTGGTGTTATATAAAAAGACAATTCAATAATATCAATATTGACATCTCTTTACTTTCAACCTGCGAAGTGAGAAATCCCTCTTTCTTGTACGAATTATACTCAGAATTACTCCCAGGCCTACGAATCAAATTTTATATTCGTAGGTTTATGAGTGATTATGGGAGTAATTCGTTTTAAAAAAATGGATTTCACACTTCACATGTATGAGTAAAGAGATGTCAATATTAAAATTACTGAATTGCCTATTTATTTAACAACAAATAGACGGATTAACAAATGAGAGACTAAATTGAGCAAAAACACAAAAGTCTAGGACTAAATTGAGTAAAAACACAAAATTCTAGGACAACACTAAGTCACCAAAATCGTTTAGGACAAAATTGAGAAAAACCACTATAGTCGAAGACTATTTTGGGTATTAACTCTATAAAATTTATATTAGATATATATAAATATAATGTATTTTACTAGTGGTTAAGTTTATCAGTCGGAATGAATAATTTGAAGTAAAATTAAAAACTAAAGGGGGTGTATTCAATCATGACTTTTGTGGAGTTTTAAAGACTTTTAAAATGATAAATTTTAATAAACTTTGATTGACTTTCATAGAGTCGCTCAAAACTTTTTAAAACTTTATAAGACTCTATAAAAGTCTATATAAAAAACATTCATAGACTTTTATCAACTTTTTATTTTAAAAAGTCTACAAAAGTCATTGAAATTCTAAATTGAATACATCATTACAAACTTTCAATGATTTTGATTCTTATCATTTATAATTTTCTTACAAAACATTTATAATATATCATAAAATTCTTCTTATTATATAGTTCTTCACCCACATCAACATTCTCAACATTATTATTTTTATCCATAGTATGCTGAGACTTATATGCTAATTACTTATATATCTACTATACTATATATATACTAATAAGAGCCCAAGAGAGTTAGGCCTATAATGGGTAGAAAAAATGGCGGTCACAAATTTTAATCAAATGAATGGCTCAGATTGATTAAAAGATTGATCAGATTTAAATTTTACACTAAAATTTTCTAAAATACCCGCACACCGTTACTAATTCCGTTAAAATTTTAAGAATTGCCGTTAGTTCACCGTTAACTTACTCATTGATTTCAATAAAAAAAAAAAAGGTCTTAGGTTCGAACCTCATCCCAATCAAAGTTGGCATAATTAGTACTCTATTTTACTCTTATTAAATTATATAAATAATAATTTAGTAGTTACAAGAAAAAATAATACATATGCATTTCTTTAATTTAGAATTATGTGTTCACAATGTCTTTATTCAAAAAAAAAATTATTCATTATCAATAAATTAAATAAGATAAATAATTTTATTAGTTATATTGTCTTTATTTTTCTTCAATATAAAAATTCTTTATATTCAAATTTATTAATTGATTATATTCGCTACATTGTCCTTACAATGTCTTTATTCAGTGAAAAACAAATTATTAATTATCAATAAATTAATTAAAAGAAATATTTTCATTAGTTATATTGTCTTTATTTTTCCTCAAATGTAAAAATTTTTACATTCAAATTCATCAATTGATTATATTCACTACATTATCTATTATCTTTTTTTTTGCACTATTTTTCTAATTAAATATCAAAGTTATAACATAAAATAATGCTATATATTTATTTACCAAGTATTTTATTAATACCATGAAAAAATTAAAAAAATATAATTAATAAAGCCAACCATATTAACTACTTGAGAGATTTTGTGACAAAGAGAGTATTCAAATCACACAACAAGTGAGAACTACCTCGCAATGTCCTTGTTTGACAATCAGCAGTTAGCGGTTAACGTTAGCGGATTTGACCAGCGAATTTATTTAATTATTAACATTGGGTAGAAAAAATGATCGTCAAATTATTAAATCAAATGAATGGTTCATATTGTTCAGGTTTTAATTTTTTTTCTTTTAAGATTTTCTAATTTATCCTTAATTATATGATTATCCATTTAACTTTTCCGTTAATTCACCGTTAGTCTAATTATAATATTAAAGTCTAATATAGAATTATAACTACACCATTAATCTAATTCTAATATTAAAGTCTTAATAGAACTTAACCACAAATCCTAATGTCGGAATCTCCTCAAACAATATTAGTATATATTTCATATTTTATGCCCTAATTTTTATTTGTTCTCCCTTATGTCCCGTATTTGGTTTCAACCATACCTATACAATTATTTTATTGACAATTATAATCAATATTGACTATATTATCTTGCATTTGTAAACTTAGAATTACCTATTTAACCTGCACTGGCTTAGCTTAATGGTTTAGTGGGTAGTATTTGGGAGAAGAGACCAAGGTTTGAACCTCGGCGGCCGCAATGCGTGAATTATGTCCAAATGGGCAGATTCCTTGTGCGTACCAGCATTTGGCCCTGTCTGCTGAACCATTGAGTCACCATGATTTACAACTTCCCACAATGCTCTCTCGGGTCGGAGTGTGGGGGGGGCCTTGGGGTTGGGGACTCAACCTTTGGGAGAAGAATTACCTATTTAAATACGCAAATTCAACCTTCAATTATCTATGCATGAACAATTTCAATATAATCTTGCCTTAATATACTTTAAAGTACTTATTTAAAAAAAAAAAAAAAAGCATTGGGCATTATCCCAATCGCGCAATGCGCGTAAAAAACTAGTATTATTAATAAACATCAACAAAAAAAAAACTATTTCATTAGAAATTCATAACAATATTGAATAATAAAATTTATAATAAAAGACTTGATCAAATAAAATATTTAAAAATATAATTACAAGTTGCATAAAATAAAAAATAAAAATCCAATATTAATAATTAATAATATATATAAAATTATCCTTGATATATTGCTAGGCATCATGCAAAGAACTATTATTTGCAATAGCAATTTGAAACTGCAAACAACAACAAGGTGTTACTGTTTGCAACTCCAAATTGTTGTTACGAACAGTAATTCGCTATTCGTAGTAACCTGTTGTTAAAATATATATATATATATATATATATATATATATATATATATATATATATATATATATTACGAATATAAACATAAAAATAATAAAAATCAAAATATATAAGTATTTATATGAATATTATGAAACATATACTAAAATTTGACGATGAAAAATTTGCTTTGTTCATGTATTTAGGGAGAATTAGAGAAAGTTAGTGATAAAAAATTCATAGAAAAAAATAAAAACCAATATAAACAAGCAATAATGAAGTAAAAATAATATTATTTCGAATTTTTAGATGAAGATTCTAAAGTTTATGAGAGAAAAAAATTGGTAGAATTTAGGTATGAGAAAAATATAGGATAATGAAGAAAAAAATAATTTTATTGAATTTAGATAGGTTTATAGAGGCATTCAAAAAAAAAAAGATAGGTTTATAGGGTTTAAATAGGGAGAAAAAAATAGAGTTTAAATAGAGAGAGAAAACATTCAAAGTTGTTAGAAAGAAAATTTGAAATATCGGGGTTGATGGTCGGATTTCAACTATTTATATTTGAGAAGGAAAAGTCTACAAAAGTCTTAAAATTAAAAAGTCTACAAAAGTTCATAACTTTTTGAATATCACATGACTTTTAAAGACTCTTTAAAAGTCTTAATCCAATACCACACGACTTTTAAAGACTCTTTAAAAATCTTGATTGAATACCGCCTGACTTTTAAAGACTCTCTAAAAGTTTGAATTGAATACCTCCAGACTTTTAAAGTTCATAAAAGTCTTTAAAACTCTATGAAAGTCATGATTGAATACACCCCCTAAGAGAGAGTAGTTACAAATACATTAAACATTTCAGCCATTAGTTGGAAGAAAATAAGGTTATATTACGATGCTACAGTATGTGAATCCACAAAATAGCAAGAGATCATTTTGGGATTATTGAGAGTAGAAGACATCAAAAGTTAGTGTACAAATCAATTTCCCTCTTCCTTTGTCGTCTTCTTCTTCGTCTTCTTCTTCTTCTTCTTCTTCTTCTTCTTCTTGAAAATTTCTTCTTCTTCTTCGTGTTCGGATAAAAAAGAAATGCCGAATAGCAAAATGCCTAGACACAGACATCTCTTCTTCTACGCCTTCTTGATTTTAATTTCTTCTCCTCCTTCATCAGCTGAGCTTGGTAAGGCCAGTCACTACAATCCGCCTTACATCCGTAAGATTTCTTCGTATGCATTCTAAATATTATACTTCATCATCAAGTCTTTCTTTGATCAGGCAGGGGTTAAGCTTCCCTTCCGAGATGCATCCAGATTTTTTTGTTTATTTTGTATTTTTTTTTTTAAATCCACAGCAACCGCGTGTTTTGGACGAGATTTCTCCCAATTGCCGTCCGATGGCTATTTCGCGGCGGTCGGCGATGATCTTTGGAACAACGGAACTGCTTGTGGGAAAAAGTACATGGTGAGCTGCATAAGTTCTCCCTTCTCGAGGGCGTGTAAAAAAGAAAAGACAATTCAAGTCCGAGCAGTTGATAGGGCTAAAACAGCAGTTTCCCGATCATCCCAGGCTGGAACCACCATCACACTCTCCCGAGCTGCCTTTGAAGTCATTTCAGATATCCGCTCAACCTGGGTTGCTATACAATTCAAACAGTGAGCAATTCCTTATTTTGAAGATGTCCACCCAGTTAGTTCTGTAAAGTATTAAATTTAGTAAAGAAAACTCAATATATTATTGATTCCTTGTAGAGTTTTATGCAAAAATCATAAGATAAAAACATGTAATTACGGTGACAATCACAAAGACTTTCTCAAATAAGAAAACAAATTAGCAGTAACATTAATCTTTATGAAGTTGCTCTGTTCTGGATTGTCTATATTTCAATTCATACTAATTAATTTATACTCGCATTTGTTTTCAGGGTGTGATATTAAGGCGTGGAAATGGTTCAGGTGAGTTGATTTTACGTTTTTAGTAAGTGGGTGTATACTTCACATTTGAAAATAGCATTTGATCGAGAAAAACATCTGAGTCAGGAGTATAGACTGTAATATTATATGAATACATAAATTAGATGATGCGTTCGATCTGTCTCAATTATAAAAGACTAAATTCTTAATCATAATTGGATTGACTGAACTCTTTTACATGGGATTGATTCTGAGAGCAAATACCAATTTTGGTCCCATGAGTATTAGTAAAATGACAATTTTGGTCCACATGTTTAATTCCTACCAATTTTCATCCACAACTATTGTTTAGTGTCAAAATTCATCACGTCGGTCACCCCTTTCTTTAAGACATGCCGGAATATGAAATTATTAAGGGTAGTTTCGTACTTTTCAAATTATGATTCATATTTGAGCATGAATAAAGGGATTTAAGCCCTAAGATCTATCCTAATTCGCAGTTTTGCTCCTCAAATTAGTGTAGGATGAGGAGGAGAACTGCGGATTAGGATCAATCATTGGGCTTAAATTCATTTATTTATGCTCAAATTGAAATATTAAGTTGAAAAGGACAAAAATGCCCTTAAAATTTTTAGATTTTGGGATATTTTAAATAGATGGGTGACCGACGTAATGAATTTTGGTACAAAAACAATAGTCGTGGATTAAAATTGGTACAAAAACAATAGTCGTGGATGAAAATTGGTAGGAATTAAACATGTGAACTAAAACCGTCATTTTGCTAATACTCGTAGGACTAAAACTGGTATTTGCTCATTCTATGATAATTGGACTATATGTTTATATATTATGTATTCAACAACAACATCCGGAGTGGCGGAGTAGTATGTTATCTAAATATTTATATGCTTGATTGGGAAGAAAGAGTAGTTTGCTTATTGCTCTTTGGACTCACGCTTGTAATGTTTTGATTTACAGATTGGAGGGGTTGCATTTGGTGTTTGATCATTACTAGGAGTGTTAGCGAACAGCTTTCGGTATTTATGTTTAGTAAGGATTCGTTTATTAAGGTAAACGAATATAAATGAACAAATTTTAAAGTTCAGTTCATAAATGAACAGAGTCTGAACAGTTATAAGCTCGTTTGCTAAACGCTTGTGAATAAGCTCGTTGGTTTCTGTTTAATAATGTTCATGAACAAGCTTGTTTTGTGTTCGTTTAATCATGTTCATGAACAAGCTCGTTTTGTGTTTGTTTAATAATGTTTAAGAGCATGTTAATGAACAAGTAGTTAAGCATATATATAGAGTTGTGTTGTTTAATTTGTTTGTTATTGTTCATGAACATATATTATTTCTTGTATGTTCACGAATAAATTGTGATAATGAATATATGCATGTGTTTGGTTATTAAGCGTTTATTAATGTGAATGACGAACATGTTCGTAAACATTAATAAACATGTTCGTAAACGTGTTCATTAATAAACATTTTTGTAAACATATTCGTTAACATTATGAGAGTCCGGAAGCCAAGGATCCCCAAGACCCTCACCGTATAGTAGTCCCATCCCCAACTCTCCTTCGAGCTCCCCTGGCCTACGCAACAAACCCTGAGACTCCCTGATACTTACCCACACAAAAGAAGGATTTGACCTCAAACCCGCATCCAAAAAAGAACTAGTAAAAAAGTAACGAGCTTTGAAAATCCTTGTCACTAAAGCATTAGGATTTGTTAACAACTTTCACCACTGTTTTCCCAACATAGACATAGTCATCTCTCTAAAACCGATCGAAATCCCATACATCCAAACTTCTTAGGTTTACAAAGATCACCCCACATACTCCAACAAATCCCTTTATCCCTTTATGCTCACAACTCCACCAAAAAGAGTTCATAAGAGGTAAGATGCTCAATTTTAGCCACAAAGGCCATTTAAGTCCGTCTGTTAAAATAAAATACATTGTTTAATTTAATTCCCCGTATTAAAATTTGACTTAAATGAATGGTCAAAGTACATATGAGGTTCATGTACTATAGTGTTTTGTTCAATTTAGTTCTTCTACTTTAATTTTGTTCAATTTAGTCCCTATAGTTTAAAAATTGAAACAATTAAGGACAATAGCTTATATGAGCAAATATTTATGTATTTATTTGTGACATATTAATGTAATATATTGGTGGTAAAAATAATTAATTTTAAATATTTATAAAATAATATACGAGTTGGCATGTAAGTATGATGATGTGGCAGAGATAATGTTAGCGCCACATCAATTATTGTCTTTCACTGTTTCATTTTTCAAAGTATAGGGACTAAATTGAACAAAATTAAAGTAGAAGGACTAAATTGAACAAAAGACTAGTACAGAGACCTTATAAGTACTTTGACCTAAATGAATAGGTTATGAGTTCCACAATACATTATGCATCAAATAATATGGCAATTAGACCAGGAATCGGCAGCCATCGGTGAAAATCAAGGCAATTTATTATGTGGATTCGGGGTTCACCTTGCAAGGTAGACTCAAGTCTAAAAATACACAATCTACAATCTATAAATACAAATCTAATAAAAGTCAATAATGTTAGGCCCTTAACTGTTTCTTGAAATTAATAGTTCATATTATTTTGATTTTAGTATTTTTTTTAATGATTTTTCTTATTTACCTTTTATTATATTATTTTCTTCCTTAAATAACTTTGCATTCCGTTAGTATAAACTTTAGTAGCGGAATATTCCATTAACTTAGTCATTTTTTGAAAGATTATAAATCAGGAACTTTGAAAGTCACTTTTTTGCATTTTGTTTTAAATCAGGTTTTTTTTTATTCCTTTTTTTTTATCATTTAATTAATCTTCTTTTGATTATTTAGAAGAAAACTCAATATTTCAATTATGTTTTTGCATTATTGGAATGATTTAGGTTATTATGGTATTAATATTTTTTGTATGTATTTTTATAATGGTACAATTAAACATTACTTTACAAATATTATACTATTATTTTTTTTTATCAAACAAAGTTATTCTTACATCATTGTCAGACATGCCTGACCTAACTACAAAGTTGTTGATCAAATATATACAATTACACATGGACTCTAAAATGGTAGGACCATTTTCTAAAGAATTGACAATGTTGACATCCCACTGTCTCCAATTGAACAAATTTAAACATCATTCTCAGAATTTTATCAATACATAAAAACTACTAAAGAAATTTGTAAATTAATTTTTACTATATCATTATAAGTTATAACAATATCAATTGTAACCATATATTCCGAATTATTTATTATCATCTTCTATAGATAGCAATTGTAGCAATTGTTATTGACAAACTTCCAAAACAATTTATCTCAACAACGAATGGAAATAAAAAATCAATGACTTCATTGTTGTGGATGAAAAGTATGTACGCCACTTTATATTACTCTTATTAAATTAAATAAATTAGTAACTTCAACAAAAAATAATACATATACATTCAATTAACTTATAATTAGATATCTATAATGCCTTTATTAGAAAAAATATATTCATTATAAAAAAACTTTAAAAGAGATATAATTTCATTAGTTATATTATCTTTATTTTCTACAATTCAAAGATTCTTTACCTTCAAATTCATTAATTAATTATATTCACTATCTTGTCCATTGTCTTCTTTTTACATTATTTTGTAATTAAATATCAAAGTTATAATACAAAATATGTAATATATTTATTACCAAGTATTTTATACAAATATAATGAATATTAATATTTTGTTCAATACTTTCACATGATAATCTTCGACACACATCTCACAACACATGAAACATGTAGGGAAAAATTACAACTACCAAATATCAACATGCGCTAGAGTTCATAGTACAACTAAGATCACAGTCATATAAACAACAAAGCAAATCTAAAACTTCTTACATCATAATCTCATTGCATGATTATGTTCTCTATGCTACCACCAGTAACTCAATTGCACATGACACACTACCCATTAAAAAAGAAGAAGAAGATATGTACTGAAGATAAAAACAATTGAATGACAATGTTATCCAAAAGAGAATTAAGAAGACTTAGAGAAATTGAAACCAAAAGTAGTATTTATTTAAATTATCTCTTCTAGACTAAGTATTTAGACTAGCATTATTACAAAATTACAAATATTTATTTTAGTGACAATTATAATTAATCTCTCATATATTATATTGCATTTATATACTTTGTATTACTGATTTAAATAAACAAATACAAAATTTAATTATCTATGCATGAATATTGGCTTGACTTCTTTGTTGCCTGTTTGTCATGTGTGGGAGCCTGAACTTGCACTTGAAGGCTAACCATTTTTTTCCTTTTGCATGTTTTCTTTGTTCTTTTCTATACCCAATGGCTTCGCGTGGTCATAAAGCTTTCTCTTTGTCTGCTCAAATCTCCTGTGGTGACTGGTGGACTCCTCTTCCCTTTTCACAGATGTGAGTCTTAGAGCCCTTTTTGTCTGAGCCATGAATTCAATAAGAGGGGGCCACTGGACTCCATCTCCCGTATCAAATTAAAGTCTATTATATGAACTGCTTCGGCATCGCTTTAATTCCTCCCTCTAATAATCACTGATCACATCACACTCCCACAAAAAGCTCCACCCACCCCTTCTTCTCAACAAATTAAAAATCCAAAAAGAAGTTTCACTTTGTATATACGACTTTTCAAGTTTTTCGGTTTCCCTTCCTTTTTGGTATTTAGGTGCAAGACGACGAAGGAGTGGAGGTGAAATGGTGGCTGCCGCCGTATATAAGAGGTGGCGGAAGAGAAGGGAACAGAGTATAGACTATAGAGGTATTTATGAGAAGAAATCTGCTGGGATTTTTCCGGATCGGAGCCTCTGTTTATCGCCACATCACTGCACAGTAGTTTTCTTTACGAATTTGCTATTTTTTTTTTAATCGCGTATAGAGAGTAGAACATGTATTATACGCAATGAATGTTAAAAGACTATTTTACCCCTCACGTTGACATTCACTTAACTAACTTGTGACGGAAGTACCAACGTTGGAAACATTTTGATAGTCAAGTGTCTAAATTGTTCAAATTAAAAGTCGATGATCAATTGTGGAAAATCACAATAGTCTGAGGACCAATGCTGGAATTAACTCTTTTCTATTCCTCTCATTACGACTGGATTTAGGAATTTCAGAATGGCTAGACTCCATAACAGAGCTGTTTATAAACAATAAATTCAAATTCACGAATGAGAATACAATTTTGAATTCTGCCCTTTTTACAATAACATAAATAAATATTTTACATTAAAAAAAAATGAAAACCAAAAAAGCATGTTAGAATACATCATTACTGATTGAAGAACAAATACACAACAATGACAAAATTAGTATTAACAACGCACTCACCAAGGTGCATTTACATCACCACACTGGAAAGCAAAGCAAATTAAAGTCAGAGCAGAAAAGCAAATTAAAGTCAAAGTCAACAATTTTCCAGTAGCTCATCCCATTAGCAATGCCAGAACTCTACCAAACAATCCCATTATGTAAATCAATTATTCCAATGATCCACCAAGCTAGGTGGACCATCTTCTTCATTCAATTAATTTCATTAGCTCACCCAGCCACCACTCGACATACTCAGATTGCTCCAAATCAACATATAGACTCAGTAGCAACCCATTCAAGGCTTCAAGCCAATGTAGTTGCGGGTTTCTCTCCCTTATCCAAAAATAACAGTAACCCAGGAATCAATGACATTTCTACAGAGTAAAGCACAAGGCCTCAATTCCTTTCCTTAGCAAGACACAGTTACTCAATAATCAATATCATAGCATGAATGCAACCAACACCAAAAAACAACAAAAAAAGTTACAGAGAAAAAGGTATTCTTGGATGGGTATCTGTGAAAAGCTCAAAAACACTTCACCTCAACCCAAGTACCCAACCAAATCAAAGGCTCAAAGAATAGAAGACTACAAGGAAAAAGAAGCACTCTTCGTCTGATAAATGGAACAAAAAGCAAAAACAAGTGGAATGATAAAGCTCCAACCAAAAATCCAACACACCACCCACACCCCCTAAAAAAAGGAAAATTCTCAAATAGATGTAATTCAATCTCTGCATAATTGTACATAATTGCATACCAGACGCAAAGAGACAAACTCAGCTTTCCTTTCGCTTTAGTTTTAATTCTCCTTAGGACGATTTTGCTGCACTAATTTGTTTAGAGTTAATTCCAGCAATGGTCCTCCGACTATAGTGATTTTCCAAAAGAGTTTATCCAAAATTGTCCTCGATTATAGTGGTTTTTCTCAATTTTGTCCTAAACGACTTTGGTGTCCTTAAATAGTCTCAGACATTTGTGTTATTACTCAATATTGTCCTCCGTTATATAATCTGTCAAATCACAAATGGGTGTTAAATATAGGGTTAAATATGTAATTTCAATTTTGGTCTTCTAGGGATCTCCTTATTTCACCGCGCCAAAGGGTCAAAAATATTTTGACCAAGAATTCGCAAAGCAATAATTCGACAATCTCTGTTTATTCGACAAAAATATTTTGACTCAGGGGCTGCGACTGCGGTCTGCTCAAGCAATTTGTGTTCATGTGTTTAGCAATCTATGCTCTCCATAAATTCGCCAAGTAAATTTGACAATCTTTGCTTATCAAATTTGTTAATCTGTGTTCATGTTTTACCAATTTCACCAATCTATGTTCATGGGTTTATCACCAGGTAAATTCGCCCAACGAAAACCCTAAGGAAGCAAAGCAAATTTCTTCCCTACATGGCTACATTGCAATGAATTCAAGGCAACGGAAAAGGGGGGAAGGCACTCCGAAATATGGTAAGCATTTTGGTTTGTGTGAGCTTATATATGGATATGTATGTACTGTCAAAGCATAAAGTAGTATGCATATGTATGTAGTGTGTTTTAACTGTCAAAGGGGACATAGTGAATTAGTAATTTGTGCTTTGCAGTAATAGCAGTAATGCTTATGGAGTTTGCAGTTGCAATATGGAGTTTGCAGTCTCAATCTGTGGAGTTTGCATTCCTTGTTGCTTCCTTCCTTTCAGTTCAAATCTCGTTGCCTCGTTCTATCTTCAGTCAGGTCATCAAATAAATATGGAGTTGTTTGCAGTCGCAATCACAATCTGTGGAGAAAAGGAGACTAAGTGAGAGAGAAGACCAAAATTGAAATTACATATTTAACCTTATATTTAACACCCATTTGACAGATTATATAACGGAGGACAATATTGAGTAATAACACAAAAGTTTGGAACTAGTTTAGGACACCAAAGTCGTTTAGGACAAAATTGAGAAAAACCACTATAGTCGAGGACAATTTTGGGTATTAACTCTTTTCTAAAATTAGTTCCCTACTTTTAATTTGGACACTTTAAGTCCCTTGACTTTCAATTTCTTTCCAATTGAAATCCTTTCGTTAGAATACGGTTCATTAGACTTTAAATGAAGGGGTAAACTCGTCCTTTCACCTGTCTATGTATTATTCTTCGTATTTCTCCCTTCGTATTTCGCTGTTATACCTTGTAAACATCTCAATAATAGAGGAACGCACACACGAGTAGTCAGCAAATGGGGAACGACGAGGAACATTTTTAGGATTTCGACTAAGATTATCTTCATATATATCGCGTATACAATGGAGAAATACTAAGAATAATACATAGGCAGGTGAAATTATGAGTTTATCCCTTCATTTAAAATTCAATTAACCGTATTCTGACGAAAGGAACTCAATTAGAAAGAAATTGAAAGTCAAAGGACCTAAAGTGTCCAAATTAAAAGTCAATGACTAATTTCGAAAAATCAATATAGTCAGAGGATCAGTGATGGAATTAACTCAATTTGTTTATCACTATTACTACATTGGTACTTTTTAGAATTTCATGAACAACTTTATCCAATCTCCAACGACCGGTTCATGAAGTTCTAAAAAGTACCAATGTTTAGATTTAATGCTTGAGATACTTACGGGATCTGTCAAATATTTCTCATACTTCTCATTTGTGTATTCAATTACATCCACCGACTGCATTCAATCATCAACAAACAAATAAATTGGGGCAGGAAAGATTTGGAGAAAGACATTTGTGAATAAGGACTATGATAAAACCTTCACATGATAATAGAAAGATTATTTGGCATACATTGTTATACTTAGCAAACGAATAGTCGCCTGTTGGCAGAACACCATTTACAACCCTCACCTAAAAACAAAAGACGCAGAAAAGCTCTTTTCTGTACATAAATCTCACAACACTGAAAATAGATTTCACAATGAAGAGCTAGACATACCCAGTGGTATAGTTGCAAACTGTCATTTCGGGCAGAATTTGTAAAAGGAAGCCATTGCCATGTAATCTGAAGAGGGAATTGAAGTACAACAATGCATTAAATAAGAATTTAAAATTAAAAAATACGGAGCAATTTAAGAAAAAAAAAAAGGTTCAACAGTCATGCAACCTTTTCATTCTCTGCCTGTGTTCGTCTTTTCAAATGATTGATATCAGTAGCAGGCATGAGAGGTGCTAGACCTCCTGTAAGGGCGTAAACCTAAAACATTACAGAGCCCAACCAACAGTTCGAATAAATCATACACTCAAGACAGAGCAGAAATTATACATGTTCCATGAGTGAAGAAAATGAGAAAGAGAGAGAAACGAAGCACTTCTCGTGAAATGCCATCGGGTTTGCGTTGAGACTCTTTCGGAGGTCTAGACTTCTTTTCTGAAGGTATGGACAATGAATTCTTCGGTAGCCCTAAAATGTCCTTTGCATCCATCTCATCTTTCCAACAAATTAGGGTTTGCTTCCACGATAGGACCGGCGATATGATAATGCTTCTCCTAATTGCCATGGCCGTGCTTCTTAGAACTGCTCTCTTAATTGCCTTTAAAATTTGTTTGCAGTGCGATAATGCTTCTCCTAATTGTTATTAAATTTCACGTAACTTCAGTTTTGCCACCCCATAACTTCAATTGACGGAATCGTTAAATTTAACCTTGAAAGTTTGGTAAAATTAAAAAGAGTGAGGTTATATTAGAATTTTAAGTTACCATTGTATAAGGCAAATTATGTCGTGGAAACGTGTTCACCGAGAATGGTGAACACAAGGTCAAACGACGTCGTTTTTAGGCAAAAAAAAAAAAAACAAAAATCACGGATGTGGAGTTAACTGCGCGCGTTGATCAAAATTATAAATTTTCTATTATGAGATTATGAATTTTCATAATCTCATAACTGAAAATTCATAATCTCATAACTGAAAATTCATAATCTTATAACAAAAAATTCATAATCTCATGATTTCAAAGTGAATGTGTAGGCATGGTTCCAAAGTGAATGTGCATGCATGGATTCATAATTTATGAAAATTTGTGATTTCGGACGGGAATGTGTAAGCATGGTTCCAAAGTGAATGTGCAGGCATGAATTCATAATTTATGAATGTTCGAAATCATTGCTCACCTCAAATTAAAGTGAAACCGCAAAATGTGAAAAGGGAGAAGAAAAGTCACGCAATTAATTAAGAAAAAAAAAAAAAAGATAACAGTGTACTAACACCGTTAGAACCGTGTTCACCATGAATGGTGAACACGGTTCCATGGCATAACGGCTGATTGTATAATTAGAAAGACACAAACTACAATTCTTTAGATCAAGTGTTGTACCGACATTTTTTTTTAGTTCCGTTAAGGGTGTAACAATATTGACTCTTATTAAAGTTGTATATATATATATATATATATAATAATTTTTCAGGGACCGGACGAGGTGAAGAGGGGTATCCCCTTCTCCATTCCTATTCTTATTCTCTGAAAATTTATTTAATATCCGTCCCCATTAGAATGGGGTTCTAAAAATTCCGTCGAACGGGATAAACTGTCATCCCTACAAGTAAGTATAAAACTAGTTAAACCCAAAGCCCAATATAAAACCCATCACAAAATCAAGCCCACTACATTATGTAAATAATAAAACCTAAAATGCAAATGGCCTACGAAACCCATTGAAGCCTAATAATAATCAACGGCTCGTTATATTATGCACCGCGGTACATAATCGATTATGCACCGCGCGACAGACACTACAATGTGTTTAAATCGACACTGTCAAAACGACGTCGTTTTATTTAAGTAAAGAAATGGTCCGCCGTTAGAGTTAACGGAGTCCGCTTGTTTGGTGTATTAAACACCAACTGACACTACAGTATATCTAAACCGACACTGCAGTTATATCAAAACGATATTGTAGTTATAGTGAAATGAAACTGCAGTGTATATAAAATGAAACTGAATAACATTTCACATATTTGAGTGTATATTGTACAATGAAGCTGTAATTATATCAAAATGATCATGTAGTTGTGTTTTAATGAAACTATAGTGTATATAAAATAAAATTAAATAACATTTTCACATATTTGAGTCTATAAATATCGAATGAAACTATAGTTATATCTAAATGAAACTGAAACTGCAGTTGTGTTGAACTGAAACTGCAGTGTATACAAAATGACATTGAATAACAGAGTTACTTTTTGCAAAAGGGTGCGAAACGGCGGAAACAAACACTGTTTATTTTCATTTTAAAAAAAGATGCGCGGTGCATAATCAATTATGCACCGCGGTGCATAATATAATTTGCCTAATCAACCGGCACAATCAGGCAAATTATACCGTGCACTAAGGCGCACAATGTATTGTGCGTCCTGGTCCAAAACAATATCGTTTTGTACCTTTTTCGTGTGTCTACTGTTAACTTTTTTTAAAAAAAAAACAAAAATCATATTTCGAATGTACAGAATTGTATAAGATAAAACACAAAATTTTATACTTGAAAATACATAATTTTATACCTGAAAAACACAGAATTTTTATAACTGAAAATCCCCATGTTTCGAATGTACAGAATTATATAATAGAAAATACATAATTTTATACCTGAAAACTCAGAATTTTATAACTGAAAATTCCCATGTTTTGAATATACAGAATTTTATACCTGAAACACAGAATTTTATACCTGAAAACACATAATCTTTTTTTAAAATGATATAAATTCCCTGGTTCGAATGTACATAATTTTATACCTGAAAACACCGAATTTTATACCTGAAAACACATAATTTTATAACTGAATACACATACATTTTCGCCGCGTTAATTCCTCAAACATTGGTTCTATGTTCATAATTACTGAATCTATATTCATAATTATAAAATCTCATGTTCATAATTTTTGAACTTCATATTCACAATTATTGAACTATATATTCACAATTACATAACTCTATGTTCATAATTACTAAACTCTATGTTCATATATAAAACTCTATGTTCATAATTACTAAACTCTTTGTTCATAATTTTTGAACTTCAAATTCACAATTATTAAACTCTATATTCACAATTACAAAACTCTATGTTCATAATATAGAACTCTATGTTCATAACTCTATATTCATAATTACAAAATTTTATGTTCATAATTTTTAAACTCTATATTCACAATTATGAACAATTTTGGAGGAGTGTTATGCTGTGGACCCGTGTTCACCATGTGCATGGTGGACATGCTGTACATTCATAATTTCTATACTGTAGATTCATAATTTCTATACTGTAGATCCATAAAATTTATAATATAGATTCATAATTTCTATACTGCACATTCATAATTTCTCTACTATAGATTCATAATTTCTGTACTTTAGATTCATAATTTCTATACTGTAGCTTGATACAGTGCAGAAATTATGAATCTACAATATAAATTTTATAAATCTACAGTGTAGAAATTATGAATCTACAATTTAGAAATTATGAATCTACAATATAAAAATTATGAATCTACAATAAAAATTATGAATGTACAGTGTGTTCACCATGCACATGGTAAACACGGGTCCATAGCATAATTTGCCAATTTTGGAACCATATCCTCGTTACAATAATTTGCCCCAATAATCAACTAAGCTCAATGAAGTTAAAATATCCAAAGAATGAACTCCCACTTTCAAAACAGCCATCCTTTTGAGCCCAAGCCTGCAATTAAATTCAGCCCAACATCAATTCTCAAACCCACCTCCCACAAGACCCAACTAGTAAAGCCCATTCTTACATCATGAACCCTGGTCCATGATATAATTTGTGAGTTGTTATACAATGGACTATGGTACACCTTGCCCAGTGGACCCCAATTCTAAATGATGTATAAATTGTGTTTTTGAAGTATTGGAGTTATGAATTTTTAGAATATAAATTGTGTTTCTAAGTCAAAACACATAACAATTAGGAATGATAACGGGGCGTGGATGGTGAGTATACTACCCATCCCCGTCCCCATCCCCAGTAGAAAATTGAAAATAGTCCACATTCTTATCCTTGCGGAGAATTAGGTGGGAACAGGGGAATCCCATTCTCGGTCAATTCTAATTAGTCAATATAATGCCACTAACGGCATTATTACTTCAAAATTGTCAAACAACATCGTATTGGAACCATGTCCACCTTGCAAGATGGACACGATTTCATGACATAACAATTACATTTAACCATTGTCCACACAATTCTATATAACATAGTCCACCACAATCATAAGCCCAAACTAGTAAAGCCTAATGAGTATATCTTCAACTAGGGTCCACGATATAATTTGCCAATAAAGCATGTACAATTGCAGGAATGAAGCCCAATAATAGAAAAAGCAATTGTTATACTATGCACCACGGCGCACATAGCACTGTGTGTCCCGCGTCTCCCAAAACGACGTCGTTTTGTTAAGTTGGTCTAAAAAAAAAAAACTTATGTTTCAAATGCACATAAACTCATAACAGAATACACATAAACTCATAACAGAATACACATAATTTAACATAGTACATAATACACATAAACTTTTAACTGAATACACATAATGGAGTTTGGTTAATATAATGCACATAAACTCTTAACTGAATACACATAAACTCATAACACAATACACATAAACTTTTAACTGAATACACATAATGGGGTTCGGTTAACATAATACACATAAACTCTTATCTGAATACACATAAACTCATAACACAATACACATAAAATTTTAACTGAATACACATAATGAGGTTTGGTCTGTTTGGACGGACAAAGTGACGTAACAAAAAATGCGCGCGTTTTGTGCATGTGCACCGTGGTGCACGATATAAATTGCCTAGAAAAAGACTAGTATAATTTTATGCATTTAGTAAAGATTAATACTATCCGTACCTAATTGTAATTTATATTCAATTGTTAATTCATTACTTATGTGACATGTATGGATTCTATCCCGCTTGACTCTATTACCGCTTTGATCAATTAATACAATCGACATGCAGATTGGTTTTCAAAAAATATTCAATTGTTAATTCATTACTTACGTGACATGTTTTGTTCATCTCTAAGAAGAAATGAACTACAATTTTTTTCTTTACTTGTTCTTCAATCAATAATATCATGATACCTAACTCAACTCTATTCTATAAGTGTTCATACATCATTTTTCTTCAGGAAATTGTTAGTATGTCCTACTCCATTAAGTATGAAGTTAAAAGGAATATTCATTATTGTATATATAGGTTGGAGTTGAGTATGAACATGTTGACTTCATGTTTGTAAAAGTTGTCTATTAACTTTTTGATTTGAATCAATTAACTATAAACAATCTAGACTGAAAATTTGTAAAGCGCAGCACACAGTGATGTTGAAACTGACGTTGTAACACAAACGATCTGTAACGCAGTTCGGGCAAACAACCCTAATCTGCGAGGCACTTCTCAATTTGAGAACTTGCCTAAATCCACTAAAAGCTCAATATTTAAAGTACACTGTT